TCTTTTCACAGATTAGCGTATATTGTATCTTGAAAATAATTGCAATTACAAGAGATCGAGTATTAACATTCACTTTATCTATTAATATAATACCAATAGATGCGAATACGGACGCTTTCTGATCTGTTTGGTCTTGAATAATGGCGATGCACGCTCCTTCGTTCGTTACCTCCAAAAATGTCAACATATTTTATAGTCGTCGTATTGAACTGGATCTATTTGTCATTCTGGTCGAATAGACCTAGAATTACCTCAAGTTTTTTGTATAACAGCCAAGCTGCAAAGCCATATATATACTTAATAAATAGCTTATATCTGAAAATGATAAATCCACTATGCTATCTTTTGCGATCACGTCTAGCAAACATATGACCCTGTCTATAGACTCGAAATCTACATTTTCATGAATAAAGAATGTACATATCGATCTAAAGAGATTATCATTTTCCTTAACGCATCCTATTGACAAAATTAGTTAACCATCTTCAATCGAATTAATCTTTGACAGGCCATCAATGCACTTTGAATTATTATTCATTTTGGCTTCTTCAATTTATCATGTTAATCTATTTAATTCTCTTGGCTTAGGCATGGCACATGAAATTGTTTTGATTGATTGATTATCACTGAACCCTAATTCTCTCATTGTGCGGCCCTTTCGCAGGCTTATTATTATGACCGTTTATATATATATATATATATATATTCATTGATTATGTATAACAATTGCCTTCATTCCGTAGGACCCTTATAATAATATTATACGAACAGCAGTGGAGGCGATGGCTGCCGTTTTCGGGGGCACCCAGTCTCTCCATACGAACGCATTTGATGAGGCACTTGGTTTGCCAACAAAATTCTCTGCTCGCATCGCCAGAAATACTCAAATTATCCTTCAAGAGGAAACTGCAATTACTCGAGTAGCCGACCCTTGGGCAGGATCATACTTGATTGAATCGCTTACTTCCCAGGTGGAAGCGGGCGCACTAAAGGAGATTGAGGAGGTGATTATTGATTATTTAAAGATTCCTAGCTCATACATCTCGTTTTAACATTAGAAATAATCATTCTTATTTAAACGTAGCTATGGAAACCAAGATGTTGTGGCCTTTATTTTGGTCGCACTCTCCTTTTGATGTATATAAATTGTCTAATTTTGTCATCAGAACTTATTCGTTTTGTCAGGGAGATCTAGTTGCACTCAACTGAACCGAAGTCCTCTGCTATACTAGCTATGATAATTTTCAGCTTTGAACCATGGATTTGGTACTTATTATCTTAGTTTGATATCGCTTTCTCAACTTGGTCGAGGTGGCACGGAAACTTTGTAGATCATGCATAGTTATGTATACTCTGCCATGTTATACATGATAATTTCCAGCATCGTACCAATAGCCTGGCATATTCATAGTTGTTCTGCTGGCATCATAGTCCGCATCTCCGATGAGCAACGCCATCCTCATTACAAAGTTACAACTTAACAAAGTTGTGACATCTAGTGATGTGTCAATTCAACGGCCAGATGATAGAAATTATTGTATAAAAATTGGGTTTCAAAGAATCCCTTAATAGATTGATGTTAGAGTACCTTTCATTTCGTTTCAAGAGGCGAGTGGAAAGGATTCGTAAGTTAGTTCTAGTGGAGGCTGTGGGGCGGTTGCCTCGGGTATGTAGTAGTAGATTTCTGCGAATAGCTCATCAGCACATCGCCCTGCGAGCTCGATAAACCCTTGCTAAGCTTTCGTCCATCATGTGACGGACATCGTCAGAGCAGGACACCATGATTAACGATAATTAACCAAAAACACGAAGGCAAGAAATTATTGGTCCTTTAGCTTTGCGGGCATTAAATTATCACCATGTTTATCCCTTGTATAATGAGCTATGCTCAGGCTAGATCACTGAGC